TATAGAAACATGGGCCCGCAAAATGGGCCGGAAAGTACAGAATGACGTCCGTCGCCACGGTGCCGTAATACACGAGGCCATAATTTGGCTGCAGGAAAAGTATCCTGACCCCGGTGCCGATCTTCAGGACAAGGAAGATGGCCCTTTCCGCACTGCTGGCGGTCTATATGGTGTCGCCGCAGCAACTGCTGCCAGAAGTATATATTGCAATTTATGAACAGTAGGGACAATGACCCTGAACACGACGGCGAAGCCGAGATCGTGGGGCCACGTGCGCCTGCCGGACCAAAGGCAAGACCTTTGTCTCGCACGCCATCTCTTCGACCTGGCATCTCAGATGCCCAGGCGTCTGAGGAGGCAATCGGTTTCCCACGTTCTGTCGCCGGCCCAGCCGTGCCGACCAGAGACGCTGACCTACAAGATCCCGACCCGAGGGATCGGTCGGATTTCCAACGCGCGCACGATGCAGCCATGGATGATGCCTCTGCCGCGGCCGCCGATGATGCCGCTAGCCTTGCGCTGCCCGCGGCGGCGGACGCTGCCGCAGGCGCTGCCTCAGATGCTGCCAGCAGCGCCGCAGGATACCGCCCCGCACACGACCCCAACCAGTCCTACCCGACCTACGCGAATGGAATCTTCGTCGGATACCACCTCCACCGGGACAGGATCACGTGGCTCAATGACGACGATTGGTACAATTTGCCTTACTGGACCTGGTTGTCGAAGTGGGAGCATAATCATCATTTTCCGCCGAGAGAGGCGGCACAGGTTGGAAATAACGACAGAGAGAGAGGGCGTTCTCGCACGCCACGTGGCGCGGACGGACAGACGGGAGGATCGGCGACTTCAAACCCGCCGCCTCCGGCGCCGCCAAGGCGAGAGAGTTCGTCGAATCCGCGGGGGGGCCTCGACCGAGTGCGGCCCGCGCGACTCCGTCCGCGGCATGCGCGCGCCAAATACTTTACCCGCGCGCTAAGCGTGATGGGCGCGGACATTTCTACTGGTCGGCTGCGCCGGACCAGCGGGGAGAAACTATTTATATATTCTAAAACGTCGAGCCTCTTCGGCCCTTGGCCCCCTGGCAGCCACCGTTGAGCCGTAAAAGCTTTTCGGGGTTGGCTCCGGTGGTTGTGCGTATGCACAGGCTGTGGGTGCTGTGGCTGGATGGGCTCTGCGCGGCCCGCCGCGGGGGGAGTAAATATGCTCCTCTCCGCCTGATACTCAATTAGAAGATAACTTAGATTGCGTGCAACGAACTGTCCGCGTGTACTGACGCTGCGTTTCTGCAGCTGTGTTACTGCTCAAACCAGCCGAACTCGGCTGGCAGGAGAGAAAGGAGCGCGCTGGGGCGCGCGGGCGATCCGTCGTCGTCCGTCCTCGGCCTTCCTCCTCCCTTCCTATTCCTGATCGAGTGGTTTAGCTTGGCGGATATCTGTCTTATCAATGTCTCATCCCGCCTCCGCTCTCCCTGAGCAGAGTGAACATGAGATCTTACTTCCTTTGTCATCTAACCCCGATTCTCAGAGGGAAGACTCTCCAATCTCCCTCTTCATAGGCCCCTACAACGGTTCATTTCCATTGAGGGACTGCCTCGTTCGAAGACAACCGTTTGAAGATCCTGAAGCATGCCGAAACATTGTTCTCGGGATTTCAACGCCACGTATCAAACTGACTGCTGCGTTTTAGCGATTCGGAATCGTGCCATAACACCGTTTTTTGATATCAACACCGCGATCCAACATAATTGTTGCACCCGCATAATCCTGAATCTTTCCAATACACCATCTTGGTACGCTGATCATGGGAATATGTGAAATTCTTGCATTCGTTCACAAAGACTGTGCGCGGCGCTAAACGAGAGCCACGTTTTGGAAACACCAGCATTCAATCCCTGAAATTCCTGCACATGTTTGACACGAATTGTGCGCGGCGCTAAGGCGAGAGCCACATTTTGAAGACCACCCGCCCTCAATTCGTGAATCTCCTGCAAATCTTTGAAACGAATGTGCGCGGCGCTAAGGCGAGAGCCACATTTTGAAAACCACCCGCCCTCAATCCGTGAGGCTCGTACAAATGTTCAAACGAGTGCGCGCGGCGCTAAGGCGAACGCTACATGTTGAAAACCACCCGCCCTCAATCCGTGAAGTTCTTACAATTTTGAAAACGAATTCGCGCGGCGCTAAGGCGAGAACCACATTTTGAAAACCACCCGCCCTCAATCCGTGAAGCTCTGGCAATTGTTAAAAAACGAATTGGCGCGGCGCTAAGGCGAGAGCCACATTTTGAAAACCGCCCGCTCTCCATCTGCGAAACTGTTGTCACCTTTTTCAGCTTCAGGGTCATAAGTGGTGCGGAAGTCTCAGGCGAAACGCCCAGCCGGCCCGCCCTAAAAACTGGCCTCGGGGTGCGAAAGGGAGGAGTTATTTATGAGGAGAAAGAGTGGAGGAAGAGGAGGAGGAGGAGGAGGAGGAGGAGGAGGAGGAGGAGGAGGAGGAGGAGGAGGAGGAGGATCGAGGATCCAGAGATTGGATTCCTCGGGGGGGCGTCTTCGGCCCGCCAGCGGCGCTCGGCGGCCTTGGCGGCACGCCCAGCCACGCACCCAGCGCCGCGCGCAACGCCAGCCGCCAGCCCCTTCCTGCCCGGCGCGCGCCGCCGCCGAGGTTCCAGCGCGGCGCCAGCCCATCCGGTGAGCGGCTCTCCCTGCCGAGTCGCGGTCCTCGCCGACCTGGTAGGCCCGCATGGTCGCCTGCGAGGCTCGCGAGACCGTTTGAGCCTGCCTCCGTCTCCCCCTCTCTCCTTCCGTCCCTCGTCCCTCCGTCTCTCCCTCCCTGCCCCCGGCTCGGTCTGAGTTGTGCTGGGCCTGGACGTGCATGGGCTGGGACCGGCTGGGGTGGGCAGATTTGCAGCAGAGGCCCCTTGCCTGGCCGCTGTAGGGTCGCCGACGTCACCCTCCTGCGCCCTCACCCCCCCTGCTAAAAGGGGGCCCTGCCCAGGGTCTCCGCATGCCGCCCCTGCGGGGGGACACCATCCATCCATTCATCCATCCATCCATTACATCCTCCTCCATGCATCCTCATCCGTCCATCCATGCATCCATTTCCCCTCCTCCAGCCTCCTTCCCATCCCCAGTCAGCCTCAATATGCCTCAATCCTCGATTCTCGATCCTTCTCTTCTTTCTCCTCGCTCCCCCTGCTCGTCCTGCTGCTTCTCCTCCTCCTCCTCCTCCTTCTCCTTCATCCTGCTGCTGCTCCTCCTCGTCCTCATTTTTTGCGTTGGTCAGACCTTATGTATGCACATGTGGCGCTCTTGCGACTGTAGGGAAACGACTCGGCGCAAAAAAACCCTGGCGGGCGCCGCTGAAATTGAGCTAAGAAAGGAATGGGGGAAAAAGAGAGTAGGCGCCCGCTAGGTTCTCGAGGTCGGCAGACACCTTAGCTAGTAGACCGCCAGTAATCAGGATCTGAGATAGGTATAGGCCCTTAAGATCAGTTGGTGGTGCCGCCTCGGTAGGTAAAGCAGTGGCTGGCATGCACGGAGTGGTGCGCATATCGGCGAGCAAAGTCCCAACATGTACCTTGGAGTGATAAACAACCGTATGAGGCACATAACGCATAAGTACGAGTCACAATGTTGAGGTACATATTGTTGGACAAGACAGGCAAGTGAAAGAACACATGCAGAGTGCGACGCCGTGTCTGTGCAGTTCTAGGGTTGCTGCCCAGGGTTTTGGTTAAGCCCAAACCGTGTATGAGTGTGCTCCTCCACCCCCCTCATGAACCCCGTCAGCGTCCGCACTTCCTTCTTCAAGGCTGGCCTGTAAGGCTTGCCTGTAATCGAGTGAGGGCGGCTGCGCAGAGTAGCCTGCGGATACAGGCTTGTAAGAGAAATGACAGTTCTTGGGATGCTGCCCCTGCTGCAAATTCATAGAGCAATGCTTACTTGATGCGTCAATGTAGTATTGTACTGTACAGTGCTCACAGTGCTCCCTTTTTGCCAGCTGTAGGCCCGCTCTTTCAGCCAGCTGTAGGCCCGCTCTTTCAGCCAGCTGTAGGCCCGCTCTTCGGTTCCTTGGTGGATGGCCACCAGTCATCGTATTTTTGTCAGGAGTGCGGGGGTAGGAACGAGATAACGAGGTGAGTATAGGGAAGCAGTCAGGCGCACTGTGTATTTCCTGCTCCGCCTCCCCCCGCCTCTCTAGGCTTGGGCTTTGCACCGCTTCAATCTCCCCGCAGTCTCCTCTCGCTGACGAGCTCTCGTGAGCTGCCCGTCCCGTCCCGTCCCGTCCCGCCCCTCCTGCTTCCTGCCCCCCGCACTCAAACTTCCGATGCCGCTTTTGGTTTGTCTGTTTCGCAGCGTGGAGCCCTGGAAGGCTCGACCCCCCCCGCCGGGCCCCATCTCCGCTCTGCCGGGCCCCTCTTTCCTGGCCCGGCGGCCCAGGAAAGGGCACCCCGAAATGCCGAACGTGGCGCACAGAACGCACTCCTTCGTGATTTCTTCCACGACGCGACGAGTCGGCGGCGAGCCCTGGGGGAAAGTGATCAGGGGCGGGCCTCCTCGCGGAAGGCCTCGGGCCCTCTGAGAGTTCTTCGAGCCCTCCCCGAAGACGTACAAGACATGCCAAAAGGCCGGAGATCTTCTGAGAAGCCCCGCCGCCTTTCGAGAGGGCCTTTTCCTTCTTCATGTCGCCAACATCGCAGAGCGGATTTCGTTCGGAAAACGATGGGATGGGCCCAGAGTGTCCTGGAGAATTTTGTTCCGGATTTCGAGGTGAATGTCGAGCGGATTTTTTGGGGCCAGGAGAATGAAGACTTAAAAACATCCACGCGAACTTCACTTCGTTTTTCACTCGCCGTAGCAGGGTTTTGCATTGACAGAATCCACGCGAAAATCCGATGCAGCACGTGTGCGAGGTCGGTGCAGTGACCTCTTCATTTCTCCCCCTCGCGCGCCGCCGAGAGGAGGTCTGGGAAGCCCCCCCTCCTCCTCCCGCGTTCTGCAGGGGGCGTGGCCGGGGCCGCGGCCGTGGCGCAGAGAAGCGCGAGCTCCCCGACGGCCTCGAGGCCGTGGCGCCCCCAGCGAAGGCGGCGCGCGGGCGCGGTGCGCCGCCCCGCCGCCGCCCCGCCGCGGAGGCTCGAGGATCACCCGTCGCCTCCTCCCTCGATCCTCCTCGGCCTCTCGATCGCCCCTCCTCTCTCCCCCCCCCTTCCCCACGTCGCCCGTCGTCGCCCCCCCCCCCCCTCCACTCACCGCCGCATTCTTCATCTTCGGCCTGGCGGTGGTGGCGCCGCAGGGCGGCCAGGCTCCGTCGCCCGCGGGCGGCGGGCGCGGTGGGGGAGGCGGGGGTTGGGGCCTCCTTGCAGCTGGTGCTCCTCCTTCCTGGAGGTGGACCCCAGCCTTTTCGAATCGGACCTCCTGCTCGGGCTCGGCGCATGAAGGAGGCGCAATGCACCGTGTTCTAGTCGGCCTCGATCCTGGATCGAGGGCCGAGAAAGGACCAAGATCGAGGAGGATTGGGGAAGGTCGGGATCGAGGGCGAGGGTCGATGAGGATCAGCGTCTCTGGGACGCTTTTGGCGCCGTTGTGGGGCTCGCTCTGGCAGGGCTCGCTTCGATCCGATCGATCCGATTCGATGTTGATTTCGGGCGGCCCGATCCGATTCGGCTCCGTTTTTTTGTTCGATCCGATTCGGCCCGATGCTCGTGCGACGCTGTCGTGCATCCTGGCGCAGCCGATCCGATCTGATTCAGACTCCGTGCTGACGCGGCCCGATCCGACGCACGTTCCGATTCGAGCTGATGCGCCGATTCGACGCTTAACGATCCTGCCCTGGGCCGTCGAGAAGCAAGACGTCGTGAAGGTCCGCCGATGGCACTCGGCCTTCCTTGCGATCTAGGCGCTGCAGGGCATTTCTCACCCAGTGTCTTCTCCCGGTCTTCGGGCCCCATGGGCCGTCGCCGACCGATCCCGCTCAAGAAAAACGCCGCAGGAAGATGTGGTCTAGGGCTCCGGTAGTTTTTTTCGCGATGTTGCCACGCTTCCGAACCGTCGGACCTCTTGCTGCAGCCCAGGGCGCGCCCCGCGCGCCCCAGACGCGGGCCCCCCGGTCGCGGGGCCCCTTCGCCGTCGGAGGGGCCTGCGCACTCCCGTGGTCGAGAGGGCGGCGGAGGAGGCGGATCGGGCAGTGCCAACGGGGGTCATTATTGGGGTGGTCACCAGGTGCTCCTGAAGGTCGAGGTTCCGGGATCGCCGCTCGACGTTGGGGTCGTTTTCGGGAGGCCTTGGATTGGTCAGGGGCAGGCTATCCCTGCGGAAATAGCGCTCCCTCCAGGAAGTGGCGACCCCTCTAGAGATGACCCCGTTTGGCATTGATTGTGCGAGGGGGCCTGACCGATCCATCCGATACGGCAGGTTCGCGTCGTACCGACCGGCGGCGACCCCACCGCGTGCGTTGAAGGTTGAACGCCGCCCGTGACCCAGAATCGGCCCGTCGTTGAACGATCCGTAGTTCGCATAACGGCCGATCGATCGAGTTTGAACGATCCCCGCGGTGTCAGGAACCAACGCCAGGGTCGAAACGACGCGAACTTGTCGTATTGTTTCTGGTTGGCTTGGTCCGACTCGACTCCGACATTTCGACGATCCTGCGTGGCCTGGTGCCTGCACGGCGCTGTTGTGCCTTCTGACGCGGCCGATCTGGTTCGCTCTCGGCACCTGTGCCGATGCAGCCCGATCCGACGCACATTCCGTTTCGATTTGATTCCTGTTTTCCACCACCACCACAAGTTGGGGAGGGGGGAAGGAGGTGGAGGAAAAGGAGGAGGAGGAGGAGGAGGAGGAGGAGGAGGAGGAGGAGGAGGAGGAGGAGGAGGAGGAGTAAGAGGAGGGGGGGGACCCCCTGCCGCTCCTACTTATGTTGGTGGCGGTTGAAGACAAGCCCCCCATGATTCCCTGGTTAGACGCAGATTCGACCTGGAGAAGGAGAATACATTTTCTGGATGTTGTTTCGTTCGGGTGCTTTGTTGGGGCAAGTAGGGTCTTCCGACCAGGGCATCGGAGGCCTCTTCAGACCTCGGCTACGCCCTCGCCGCCGTGCGTACTTGGCCATCGTGAGACAAATCGAAGGGTGAGGAGGAGGGAACAGGTCTTCCGCGGATCGAGTCTCGACTTTGTTTCGCGCGCTTGATTTTTGCGTGTCCGCGGGTGAGGACACGGGTGGAGCTGCCTCATCGAGGACGAGCATGAGGAGGAGGAGGAGGAGGAGGAGGAGGAGGAGGAGGAGGGAAACCATCTTTTACCAGCACTAGCTCGCCGCCAGCCAGTGCCCGCCCAGCCGACCAGGCGGCCACGCACGAAGAAAAGGACAGAGCTGTTTTGGGCGTGCTTGGAATATTTTGGGGTTCTCGAGGCTGCCAGGGACCTCCAGAGAGCTCCGGGCTGCGCCCCGGGCACCCGGGTCATCGTGATCAATCGAGGAGGGATTCCATCAGGAATCCGATAGATTTCCTGAGGCATCGCTGGGATGTCTTAAGGAACCCCATGCATTTTTCAAGACATCCGATGGATATCCCACGGATTCCTGTAGATCTCCGAAGGGATTTTATTGATTTCCTACGGGATCCTGTGGATTTCCCCCAAAAAAAAACGATGGATTTCCAAAGGGATCCCATGGATTTCCCAAGGAACCAGGGAAAGTTTAGAGCCTGCCGTTCTGTACACAATGCCAGCCCTCGGGATTTGGTTGTGGGCCCTGGGGCTACCAAAGTTCATCCCAGCAAGAGTACATCGGAAGGGCACTGGTTTTGGTTGGGACCCGAGGGGGTTGAAGGAGGCGGAGGAGGAAGAGGAGGACGAAGAGGATGAGGAATATGAAGACTAGCGTAGACACAAGACGCATCAAGGATGTTGCAATCAACCTTCCCTCGAAATTCCGTCTCCTCAGGCCAATTTCAACATTTAGTTCATTGCAGGAAGTGCGCCATTGGAGGACAACGGTTGGAGAACCTAAGCCTTGTCACATGACAATTTCACCGCGAACTGTTGCGCCCGGACAATCCTCATTCGTGCCAGAACAGTTTTGCTGAGACTTCAATCGTAAGAACCCGTAGAATTGCTTCAAACATTCAAGACGAGTGTGCGCGGCGCTGTGGCGAGAACCACAGTTTGACAAGGACCCTCCCTTCAATCCGTGACACTGTTGCAACCCTTCAAGACGAATGTGCGCGGCGCCCAGGCGGGAGCCACATTTTGAAATCTGCCCGCCCTCCAGATGCGAACTGTTGAAGACGAGTGTAAGCGGCGCGAAGGCGAGAGCCACATATTGAAAACGGCCCGCCTTCCATCTTTGAAACGGGCGCCAACATTTAAGGCGAATGCGCGCGGCGTTAAAATCGATAACCACATGTTGAAAACTGCCCGCTTTACATCCGTGAGACTGCGGCGCACTTTTATGACGAATGTGCGCGTCGCTAGGGCGAGAGCTATGTGTTGAAGATGGCCCTCCGTCCGTCTTTGAAACTGTTGTAAGGTTCAAACCTCAACGTCCGTCCCGCTCTATCGACACGTCTGGGGGCGCGACAGGGAGGAGCTATTTTTAAAGGAAAAGGGATGGCAACGGATGAAGAGGATGATGGGGATGATGGGGATGATGATTCAGAAGAGAAGGATGAAGAGGAGGAGGAGGTGAAGGAGGATGAGGAGGAATTTGAAAAGCAACCACCCTCTCTCCGTGAAGCTGTTGCAACATTGTAAGGCGAGTTCGTGCGGCGCCCAAGCGAGAGCCACATTTTGAAAACGGCCCGCACTCAATTCTTGAAGCGGTTGCACAGTTTTGGGACGAATGTGCGCGGCGCGAAGGCGAGAGCCACATATTGAAACCGGTCCGCCGTCGTCCTTGAAACTGACGCCCAACATTTAAGACGAATGAGCGGGGCGCTAAAATCGATATCCACGTTTTGAAAACTGCTCTCTTTCCATCCGTGAAACTGCGGGGCATTTCTATGACGGATGTGCGCGGCGCTGGGGCGGGAGCTATATTTTGAAAACGGCTTTCTGTCCATCTTTGAAACTGTTGCAAAGTTCAAACCTCAGGACCATCAGTGGTGGGGAGTCCCAGACGAAACGCCCGTCCCGCCCTATCGACACGTCTGGGGGCGCGACAGGCAGGATTTTTTTTGGGAAAAAAGGATGGAAACGGATGAAGAGGATAATGATGATGAGGATGATGAAGAAGAGGAGGAGGAGGAAGAGGAAGTCGAGCAGCAACCGCCATCCATCCATGAAGGTGTTGCAACATTGTAAGACGAATTTGCGCGACGCCCACGCGAGATCCACATTTTGAAAACGGCCCGCACTCAATTCTTGAAACGCTTGTAAAGTTTTGAGACGAATGTGCGCGGCGCGAAGGCGAGAGCCACATATCGAAACCCGCCTTCCATCTTTGAAACTGACGCCAACATTTAAGGCGAATGCGCGCGGCGTTAAAATCGATAACCACATGTTGAAAACTGCCCGCTTTACATCCGTGAGACAGCGTCGCACTTTTATGACGAATTTGCGCGTCGCTAGGGCGAGAGCCACATGTTGAAAACGGCCCGCACTCCATTCTTGAAGCGATTGCAGAGTTTTGGGACGAATGTGCGCGGCGCGAAGGCGCGAACCACATTCTGAAAACGGCCCGCCGTCCACATGCGGCGCTAAAGCGAGAGCGGCACTTTGAAAACGACCCGCCCTCAGTCCGCGTAGTTGTTGGCGGTTGTCAAGCTTCAGGATCAGAACTTGTCAGAATGTTTCAGGCGAAACGCCTTGCCCGCCCTACCGACACGTGGGGGGGTGCGAAGGGAGGAATTGTTCATAAGGGTAATAAGTGGAGGGGAAGAGGAGGAGGACGACGAGGAGGAGGAGGAAAAGGAGGAGGAGGATCAGGAGGAGGAGGAGGAGGAAGAGGAGGGGGAGGGTAAATAGAGGAAAGGGAAGGACGAGAGGGACGAGCAGGGTTTTTACAAGGCTGTATCGCGCTCGTTCGTAGAGGTTGTGTGCAGAAGCGATGTCCGAAGGAGAAGAAGCAGCTTCATACATAGAAGCTTTCGGAGGTCCGCGCGGCCTTTTTGATCTGCGCTGGACCCATGTCACTGGCGCGCGGAGCGCTCCAGGGGCGGTCCTGGAGGTGCCGCCAGGCAGGTGCTGGCTCCGATCCAGGAGATCAGCGCTTGCTTCCGAGACTTTGTGCTCATGCAGCATTGTGTCTCTCTCTCTCTCTGGATGGATTCCCCTCTGTGGCGCGCGGAATGCTCCAGGGGCGGCGCCAGCGCCGATCCAAGAGATTCGCGCTTACCTCGTGACATTCATGCTTCTTTCGCTGGTTGATTCTCTAGGTGCAGTTTTCGCCGCCAGTCGTCTCTGCTCCAGGCGCAAGGGAAGCTTGGTGGATTTGAAGAGGTGAGACTCGTGTACGAATATCTCTCTCGCTCTTTCTCTCTTTCTTCCTGTCTCTCTCTCTCTCTTTCTCCCCCTTTTGAGGGCTCCTTCATACTTCTCCTTATTCGACTTCCAATATTGGATGTTCACGCGGGGACGCTCGACAAAATGATTTGCGATTGCGCTCCTTGGTGGCGCTCTGCGAGCTTGCATCGGGGTGTGTAGGCTGTGAACACGTGTGACAAGTAGGATTTACCGCTTCTGCATGTTGCTTCGAAGCGTTACGGACGCGCAAACATGGAATACGGCGCGAGGGTTAGCAACGGGCCCTGTTTCCGTACGTAATCCGTGCGTTCCGTTGCCAATTCAGGCGGCATTGGCCTCATGCTTCGGGGGCCACCTTCCCCCATCCGTGGATCTAGCGCCCACGCGCCAGATCCGTGCCGTTTTCTTATTCATTGTTTTGCCAATCGGCGCGGGCCCTCGCACCCTCTCCCCTCCCCATATAGTGGTTATTGGCTGTTATCGGCAAGCAGGCGGAGGAAGCATGGGAGCCCCGCCCCCCCTGGTGGACACTCGAATCGTTTTTGTTGGCGCAACTGTGCATAGTGTTTTCGGGGCGGCCCTCGTGTAAATAAGAAGTGGGTTCTCAGGCGCCGGATGCGTTGGTACAAAAATATACCACCGGGGGTAGCCAGTTGTTGTGGGATTGTATGGAAGTGCAGATCCTGAAGATTCCAATCGGATTCAACATGGATTCGAATGTATAGGATCCCCCATAGGATTTCCCCATGGGATTCGCAAGGGGATTCCCCCATGAGATTCCCCCACAGGATTCCCCCAAGTGATTCCCCATAGGATTCCCCGTGAGGGTTCCCTTCATTGGACTCCCCGATGCGTTTCCCCCATTACGGTTCCCCCAATAAAGCTCCCTCATGGGATTCCCCCAGAAGATTCCCCATGGGAATCCCACGTAGGACTCCCGCATCATATTTCTCCAACGAATTGCCACATCGGGTCCTTCCCCCTCTGTTTCAAACAGTCAAACTAAGCAGGGGTCCGGAGGACTCTCACATCAGATTTCTCGGCAGGATTGCCACATGGGCTCCCCTTCTCTTTGGCGCTGCTTCAAACAGTCGCACTAAGCAGAGGTCGGGAGCCAGATCCCTCTCCTCCCCCCCTGCGCCCAATATCATAACGCAGCGAGCGCCCGAAAGCGGCTTCCCTCGGTTGCGCAGGCCCTGAGATGACGAGCGACTTGCTGGGGGGCCCAGGCAGAGGGAGGAATCGAGGCCGAGCCCTCGGTCGAGCCGACCGTTCGAGGGTCCGAGCGCCCGCGTGTGGCATGCAGTAGGCACGCCCTCGCTAGTGCATGACGTCTGCTCACGTCCTCTTGTGCGGATCCTCGCCGTCGCCAGCCCCCCGCCTGGAGCTGCAAAGGTATGCCGGCGACCCCGGCGGCTGCGCACACCGGGAGGGCATACGGGGCACGCGGCGGGCGAGACAGTCGGAGAAAGATTTGCCGGAACGTCTGGGTTGTTCGCTCTGGGGGGAAGATGTGGAGGTGGATGAGGACGAACAGTTCGGTCGGAGCCGCATGGGAGGAGGTGCCAGGATGATGAGCGCGTAAGCGCGAAGTGTTTCTGTTCGTCGTGGCTTTCCAGCCAGCCAACAACAACCCAATAACGTTCGCACGACGCTTTTTTCTTCATACGCCTCTTCTGCGGATTCGTGCAGGCCGAATGATGAGCAGGAGGATTTTGTATTCGATTGCACGATGCGCACCTCGCGGCTCCTCACAGTAACTTGGGATGATAGATCTCCCTGGTCGACTTCGTGTTGTCAGGCGCTCGATCTTCCGCAAGCGCTCGCAAGCACTCCAGCCCTTTCCTGGTGGGGGGCTGGCATTCATGAGTAAGCCTTCCGCTCTTTCTGTAGTGGTCCGTGCCGAGACCACACATATAGAGCAGGCTAGGACAAGCTGCGTGCGAGACCCCGCCCCCGCCTGCCACCACCTTCTAATGGCGACGGGTGCGCCGAGAAGGTCCCTCGCACTGGCCCGTCAACACGCGGGGCCCTACTGCCAGCGTCATGGAGAGACGGCGGGGCGCAAGGTTTTCTCACCCACTCATCAGAGCATCTTTACCTTGCCTGGCCTGTTCCGTGCCTCAAGAGCTACAATGCCAACGACGGTGACGATTGGATCCGAGGTCCGAACCACGCAGGTTTAGGGATTCCGACAGGGCACACGGCAAGTCCAGCTTCGGCTAAGCCATGCCCAGAGCAGCCTGCGCTTCCCTATCTGGACGGCTCGTTGGCCTTGCGGCCAAAATGGCGACCAGTCTCAAGCGGATGTTCTTAGACTCCGTTTCAAGCTCACGCAGCGTCTCTGCGAAACTCGAAGGGTTTCTACCTCCTGGTGAAACCTTTCCGCAAGTTTGTCCGCAAACATGTTGCACTTGAAAAGAGCCTGCAACTCGGGTGACGCACGGGCAGAATCTCTTTCCGAAATATGGCTCTCGACTTTGATCAAGTCTACGTTTTTCCCCGCGGAGAGCTACCGAGCAATGTTCCAAAAGGTCTCTATTGGTTCTCAAGCGCCATCTGGCCTTGGCGCGCAACCTAAATAGACCTCGCTGGAGGTACGCACTATCAGTCACATAAGGCAAACTCCTACCGTCAGTGGCCAAGCTGGCCTCCTTGAGCGTAAGCAGTCCAGCACGATGTGTACCCTGTCTGGACCACAGGAGGGCTCCCCCGACCCCCCCAGACTTTGAGACAGGAGCACCAGGGTTCCGCGGGCCACCTCCCCAGTCCACAGGTAACGGAAAGAGCGAGGTACGAGTGATGACGTTCTGGTGTGAGACGAAGCCCCTTAAGGGGGGTTCCAGGGGGGGGGGGTCGCCCGGCCGTTTGGACTCTAATGGCCGTTTTCGGGTTTTCCCTTTGGTTTTTGCATGTTTGGGGGATTCTCCCTCGGGACGGCCCAAGAGGCCCCCACGAGGCCCCCAAGAGGCGCCCAAGGGGCGTCCCAAGAGAGCCCCAAGAGGCCAAAATCATATGTATATATATACATATATATATATATATATATATATATCCAAGAGGGAAGCGTACATTTTTAGCATATACGGCGTTTCGCCTTTCACGGCGTTGACGACGCTCCAAGAGGCCCCCAAGACCGCCCCAAGACGGCCCAAGAGGCTCCCAAGAGGCTCCCGTTTTGGGGGTTATCCCTAGGGTTTTTTGCATGTTGTTCGGATGTCACTTCTCTGCCGTCCCAGAAGAGCCCAAGACAACCCCAAAACGCCCCAAGAGGCCCCCAAGAGGCCCCCAAGAGACGCCCAAGGGGCGTCCCAAGAGGGCCCCAAGAGACCGCCCCAAGGCGGCCCGAGAGGCTCCCAAGAGGCTCCCCAAATGGCCCAAGAGGGCCCCCAGACGGCCCAAGAGGCGCCCAAGACGGCCCAAGATGGCCCCAAGACGGCCCCAAGAGGGGGACCACGAACCGACAAGTCTAGTTTATCGCCCCAAGACGCTCCTGGGAGGCCCCCAAAGCCCCCCAAGAAGCCCCAAGAGGCGTCCCACGAGGCCATCAGGAGGCCAAGCTCATCGATTTTCTATGGACAAATGGACATTTTTAGCATACACGGCTTTTCGGTTTTCACGGCGTTGAAGACAGTCCAAGAGGCCCCCAAGCCCGCCCCAAGACGGCCCAAGAGGCTCCCAAGAGGCCCCCAGAACGGCCCAAGAGGGCGCCAAGACGGCCCAAGAGGCGCCCAAGACGGCCCAAGAGGGCCCCAAGACGGCCCCAAGAGGGGGACCACGAACCCGAAAGTCTAGCCTCTCGCCCCAAGACGCTCCCAGGAGGTTCCCACAGACTCCCAAGAAGCCCCAAAAGGCCCCCAAGAGGCCCCCAAGAGGCCCCCAGGAGGGCCCGACAAGGGCCCCAATAGAACTCCCACGAAGGCCCAGAGACGCCAAGAGCGATCGGTAACGCAAAAAGCTCTTCACACCAAGGCTCCCAGGAGCTAACGGTGACGTAGACAAGATGATAAGACCAAGGCTCCCAGCAGAGAGCGGTGACGTAACAAGTTCCTGACACCAAGGCCCAGCCAAGGCTCAGGAACGGGCGGCAACGCAACCATCTCTGAACACCAAGGCTCCCCAAAGCGAGGGTTGACGTAACAAGCTCTCAACGCCAAGGCTCCCGGTACGAACGGTGGTGTGAGTCATTTCGGTATCTGTTGCTGCAGCGCTCTTTCCGTTTCTGTGCAGGGCCAGGTATCACGGCCCAAGTGGGCCTCCTCAAAACTAGGATGCCCAGGAGAAAAATAGGCCTCCAGATGCGTCGCCAGCGAGCCACATCCGACCCTCCTCCCGACGCCGAAGGAAATGGTGAGCAGGCATTCCAGGGGAAGAAGGCGTGGGGATGTCAAGGATCGGGCCAACCTGGGTGACTAAATCATCTGGCGGTGTTGGGATGGGAATACACTTCTGGGGAATATGTAAGACCTCCAAGCAAGTAGCAATGGAGAGTTGCGGCCTCTGCCACCGCTTGGTCCTTCAAGTGCTGAGTAGACTGGCAGTCCGGGATCTTCTCGTCCACTGAGAATGCCCAGAAGCGGCGAAGGTCCGTCTCAGGCCCACGGCCACACCCAGGACACACGTGACCTTCGATTGTTCATTCCGCTTGGAACAAGCGGTCTCGTGGCCAGAAGCTTGTTGTCATGACCGTACACTGGACAACACGACACTTGTTAGACCCTTTCTTTGCCATGGCACGGGTAGACTTGAACATGTCCGAGGTCTCCGCCCCACGCTCCATGCCGTGAAACTGCTTGGCAGCAGACTCCCAGACATACGGTCCCATGGCCATCCGAACACCTACAAGAGGCGGCTCCCAGCCAAGGCCGTCTTCAACAGTGTCTCCTGGAACAGTGTACCTACCTTAACAGGGAGGGATCCAGTTCCAAGGCCCCGCAGGCCTCCACCCCGCGGGTTGAAGCACGAACCGCCATCACGCCGTTTAACATTGTTCAATGGTGGTTGGGCTTAGCCCCTCAGAGCGACTTGACAACCATGGGTCACGTTAGCCCTACGGCACCACATACTCGAAGAGATCATACGGTCAAGCCAGAGGCTGATGGTTGCTGTCGGCTGCCATAGTCCAGGTGCAACGGGCTAGTAGGGCAACGTCCCTTGGCACTGGAGGCGGTAAACTTACCCAGGTTACGCCTGAAGTTGTGCATGGGCTGCGGGGGCGGGGGGCGGGGGCGTGAGGAAACATGTTAGACCTACACGTGCTCCGCGGCCAGGTGCCAGTCTTGGTAACTCTTCTCGCAGCCTTGGCTCTTGGGGTACCTTTCCGGCGAACCTGGAGAGCTTGCCGGCCTGCCACCCTGCAGGCCTCTCGCGGGCCCCGTGTCTCGATGGCCGCTGCAAGCGTTCTGGGCCTCCTTCCATACCCAGGTCCGCCGCGGCCTCCCGGTGGTTGGCCTGGAGGCCGACAGCGTGGAGGGAGGCCGTAAGCTCAGCTGATGCGAGTTTGTTGCAGGCTACGGTAGAGGGAACCAATGACTGAACACTCCCCTTCCCCCCAAGCTCGAAGTTGGCACGCGCGGGGGGGGGAGACTGCGGTCGAGGTGCAACACATCTGACCCACCGCCAACTCTGAACATTGGGGGGAGGGGGAGGCGTTGACAGATGAATGTGGCATGAGTGTTCGCTATTTGTTCCGAGGCCTGCATGGCCACCCACGTTTCTGTCAGAGCAAGGCTGTCTCTACGACTCGAACGAGCAGACTCCTGAGCGGGTGCAGCTACGCAGTCGATAGCCACTTTCCCTGGACCATCGACGCGGAGATAGGCATTGTTCACCCATGACGTGACCACGCGCCCTCGGGGAGCCAGGAACTGTGGACAGCGTTGAGAATGGGGTAGAGGAAAAGCGGCGGTTCCGTTGTTCGCATGTCGGGACCCCCGACGATGACAGGATGGGGTCACTGGAACCAAGATTTGCCGCGCAGAATCTTGGTCCCAATGTATAGAAGAGGATGGCAGTAGAGGAGTAAGGTAGAGGCACCGATCAATGAGGAGACCTATGCATCGGGCATCGTCGAATTCTTTGACTTCAGCAAGAGCACTGCCATGGGACATATTGAGGGCACCTGCGGCCTCATTCACAAAGGTCTCGCCGCTGCGGCCCTAAGCGCATGGCTTCCTCGAACAGCCTCGTCCCACAACACCGCCTTCTTTTTCACCACTCCCTCGACACCTCATTTCTTAGGAGGCTCCAAAGCCTGCTCAGCCAGCAAAGCAGGGCGATGGCCCGCCAGCCACCTGCATTTTTTTTGGGGGGGGTCCTAGTTATAGCAGGCAGAGGCTGCCATGGCCGCGCGAGCTCGCTCTCTACCTCCTTAAACAGATCCAGCAGCGCGGCCTGCACTTGGGCTCCAAGGTTCTGGATGTCCTTCGG